GAACTACATCATGGGTGTCAAACCACGTTTCATCAAGATACACAATGTCTCTATTGTCATCTCGATATTCTTTAATGTATTTACAACTTATTTTCTACTGTCTTAACTCAAACTTAACTAAAACACAACACTACTGTTTGCACAAAAATATTAAAAATATACGTGAACTTGCTGTCGTACACGACGATACTGAATATATCGTTTAGTATGAGAAACCTGAGAAGGCATTTTTGACCAGATAACGATCAAGTTTGAGCGTAATAACTTCCGAAGAATTTGACTAATTACACTTCAGTAGTGCCCGATAAGATACGTAGAAAGTAATAAACCACAGCTGCAATATGGACAATACCGTTAGTGATCAATTACAAATAATGTTTATATTTCTGAATTATTGGGGACTGGACCCTAAAAATTCCTTAACTTTTATTGAAATTTAAAATTGATGATTAAAAGTATATACATACATAATGCAAATGAAATGTAATGTGCTTATTAATTTGAGAACTAAAAAATGAGTTTACAATTTTACTATAAAAATAAAATAATTTATATAATAAGTTTAAAATAAAATAAAATTAATTTATCACGACGACACTGTTATTGTGTTTACTTAAATGCTTGCCGCCTTTGAAACATGAGAAGCAATTTTTACCTGCTAACGGCAAAGCCAGATTTGGTTATAGTGTATGCACTTCCGAAAAATTTGACCAATTACATTTCAGTATTACCCAATAAGATACGTTCAAATTAATAAGCCCACACCACTATCCATGTGGACTAATACCAGGAGTAATCAATAATTAGAATTACAAAGATTTATCTTTATTTCTATGTTCGCCGTAGAATTACTGACCGGACCCCAAAAATTGTTCTTTCCCAATTCATATCGTAACAACTTTACTTTGTTGTTTGTAGAAGACTTTTGAATTTGGTGAACCATAAAATTTACAAATCACAATATTTGCCTTCGGTGTTTTAGTCTAAGTCGTGATTAAAATTCAGATCAATATATTTGTCATTATTTTTTATTACTAAAACAATTATTTTATGTTGTGAAAACAATTACTTATATAATTTATAAAGTGTAAGTTCCTACACACTCCCATTAAAAATATATTTATAAAATCTCCCACATGGGATTGATCGAGTTTCATGTTACACTTTGATAATTTTTATTTAAACGAGGCATTCTCTATTATCAAAAAGCGCTTTCATGGAACCGAAACCATCATATTATTGGTTAAAAACTATTTCATTCTAATTATATAGGAACGACTGACGATACTGGTGTCATTTTTCCGCGATGCTCGCTTCTGTTTGTAGGTATACATTAATTATATTCATATATAGTACACTACGTGTTCGTTGTTTTCAACATATTGTTAAAAACAATGACAAAAGTCACTTTTTAAGTCATCTTTTCGGCAGGATGGACGAATGCCGATCGGATTTTGAAAACGTCGCCCATTTTAACAATCTAAAAGTGTATCCTCGATTGAAAAGTCTTCTAGAAACGCAGTATTTTAAGTTTTTTAGGGTGAGTCAATTAATTAAATGCAATCAATAATCTTGGCACGTTTTACCTCATTAACAGCACAATCAAAGACACAAAAACATCCACCCAGTTTTCTAATTGCAGCATCAAACTATATGTCAATAAAAGCAACAGTGATTAAAGAAACCATCTATAATAGTTCACATTTCATATACCAGGTACCAGTAGAGGTGGTTTTCGTCAATTCTTTAAAAAGTTTATGGATTTATCGTTGCTATTTGAGGTTTACCACTCCCTGACTTCTTCCATTAGTCTCGAGACAGTTCTGAAATTCATTATTAGCCTAATTGATGTTATAGATATAAATTGTAACTTTACTGTAAATGCATGCAAGAAAAAACAATAAAACAAACAATTGTTATCACGAGTTTTACTATTTAGGTGATGCAAATTACTGGTCTTTAAATTTAAAACACTAAAACTACCTATGCTATTTTCTTGACTATATGTAATTGACTATAATATTTTAAAACTACAATTTTATTTAAAAATATTTTATCTTTGACGTTGATAATTCCATCTTGAAAATGTTCTTCTTTTTATAATGCTGTCTCCACTAATGAAGGTTGGCTATAACCATTGCAAATTCGACTCTATCTTCTGCTTTTCTTGCTGTCTATCGTCTTTTAATGGTGGTCAAAAGTTCTCTGTCTTTTCCCATTCTGTGCAACAGCATTTCGTTCTTAATATGATCGATCCGTGGTATCTTCAAAATTCCCCTAAAAAGCCACATTTCAAAAGCTTCCAGTTTTCTCATTATCAAGAATAATAGAGTGGATATAACATTTTACCATCCGATATCGAATTTGCAGATTGAGTCTTTGGTTACTCAGAAATTTCCTCATCTTCAAAAAGGCTACTCTTGATTGCTCTCTTCTTGATCAAATTTCTGATTTCAAATTCAAATTTTCCGTAATCCAGACTCCTAAGTATTTCATTTTGTCCACTTGTTCAATATCTTCATTTTTTATCTGGATCCTTGTAATGACTTTGCCCCTCTTACTGATAACCATGTTTTTGTTTTCTTTATGTTTATTGTTAAACCAAATTGTTCCCCAGTATCACAAATTGTGTTTAGTAACGTCTACAGGTCTGTCTAACTTACAGCGATAATGACTGTATCCTCAGCATAACGGATGTAATTTATATTTTCACCATTTATCTTGATCCCTTCTGGACAGTTTTCAAGTGCTTGCGTAAATAACTCTTGGGAATATATATTAAATAGTAATGGTGAAAGTACATAGCCCTGTCTCAATCCTCTACTTATCTGTTGCGCATCCGTGCTGTTTCCATCTAATGTTATCACAGTCTGTTGGTTCCAATACAGATTTCTCAGTATGTTAATGTCATTTTGTCGAAAGCTTTCTTATAGTCTATAAACGCAACGAAAAGATCTTTTTGTTGGTCTCGACATTTTTGGGCAAGAGTTGTGCATGTTCTTGCATGTATAATCTTTAAAAATGTTTTAATAAGTGTAAAATTAAGCTGATTAATCTATAGTCATTACAGTGTTTGGGGTTCTTGGTTTTTAGTATCGGAACAAAGGTCGATAGCAGCCATTCTGTAGGTATCTCACCAGATTTGTATATGTTGTTACAGAGTGTAGTTATTGCACTTAAATTGCCTTCGTCTATAAGTTTAATCAGCTCGATATGAACTACATCTGGCCCAGGGGCTCTGCCAGATTTGTGTTGGTTCCGTTCTTGTGTCCATGAAAAAATCTTTAATATATTTAGTCCACACTTGTTTTTTTTTTCAATTGGGTTAATATTTTTTTTTTTGTTCCATATTAATTTATATTTTTTTCTGTACTTATTTGGGTTTTTGTTTCTATATTTTCTTCTTTGTTCCATGATTTCCAGTATTTCTCGAGTCATCCAAGGTTTTCGGTTTCTGTTTTCTTTTGTAGAGTTTCTTTCTGTGTTTTTATAACAGCGTCTTTGATTTTGCTCCACATAATGTTCACATTCTCAGTGTTTTTTATTTATGATGTTAATTTCTTCATTCCTTGATTAATACAAGTTGAAGCCTCAGCACGGATTTCATTTATCTTGAATAACTGAATATTCACCTTAGAACTTTTGGATTTTATTACCTTTTTTACCCTCAGTTTCATTTTTGAGTCAAGGAAGCTATGGTCTGAGGGGACATCTGCTCCAGGAAAAGTCTTAACGCTTACAATGGGATTTCTAAATCTTAGATTGGTTAGAATAAAGTCGTTTTAACAAAACCGTTCCAACAGTGGGTTCTAAAAAGCCACTTTTTCTATAAATTTATGAAGAAACTGCATAATAATAAAACAAAATTGCAAGATTTATTGCCCTTTTACAAATTCCAAGAACAAATAAGCATTATTGGTCGAGTTTAAACAAAACCTGTTTTTTGTACCTAACAAATTAGCGAAGCGGTTGATACAAGGAAAAACTTTTCTGACCAGTTGTGATCGTAAAAATGATAATTTTTTATTTATTATATCGAAGTGTGTTGAGATACCAAAAGAAACAACGTGTTTTAGCAGGCGTCTCAATGTAAAACGGGCTAGTCAAAAAAATGTGTGCTTAACTTTTTATTAAACAAAATATGAAACAAATAAAAAAAAATCTATATTTTCCCCTTTTTTTCGCATATAACTATTAGTTGTTAGAATAATTTTGCATGGGACATAGAAATTTTGTAATTAAATTTTACATAAGACAGTTCTAGTTTTAAATCTTAAGAATTATTATTATTATTAAAAAATACTAAAAACACGAAAAAACAGTTAAGAGAAAGGTTTTTTGTGTGTTTATTTATCAGGTTAAAAACAAACTTAGAAATCATATTCCGAAAAGAAAACTCTTTTATATGTTTAATCATTACACAAATTTTCATTAAAATTGATTTAATAGTTTTTGTAAAATAAATTTTGCTCTAATTTTTTTTAATGAATAATTTTCAAAATTATTCAGATCAAAAATTAATACAATTGAAAAGCATTCAAGATTTCAAACCATTCATTATGAAAAATTAAAATTCAATTTTTTAAAAAGCATTTTTTACAAAAATTGTTTAAATTTTAGGCTTATAAACATTTTGAATAACTTCATCAATAGTTGATCTATTTTAATTTTCGAAACAGATATTAAAAGTGCGCCGAAAGACACTTTAAAGAAAGAAAAAATAAGATGATTGATTCATTAGTTTTGGAGTTATGATTAGGTCAAAATTAACTGCGATTTACAATAAAAATATAAAGTTCTGAGATCTGTTTTTTTAATAAAAACTTTTAGTATACAAAGCACTAATTGGGAAAAATTCACATTAGCTACAGACCACTACAAGTTGATTAAAATGTCAATTAAAAGTGGCCAGTTCGTCAAAAAATTTGTCCAGTCCACGAAATTCAAAACCCTTTTTAATATTTACCAAGAAAGTATTAAGTAATTATTTGATATTTTAGGTAAATTTAAAAAGACCATGTCCGTTTTGGGTAGACGATAGCAAATGCGCTATGAGAGACTGCCACGTGAAGCCTTGTCCTCCAGAGGAAATTCCAGAAGGACTCAAAGGAAATTCACACCAGAAAGTAGTACCTGTAGGTAAGAAAATAATTAGTTTTACATCTATTTAATTACAAACAGCTTTGCTTAAACAACATAAGCATAAGCAGTGAAAGGAGACACTGGATATGGAATACAGTTTGAAGACGACTTTTTCATATCGCTTTTTACTAAACACAAAATCAAACTGAAGTTCATTTAAACGGAAGAACTGTGGAAACTTAACACCATGTCCTAATAAATGGGTGTTTATCAAAATTTTGAAGTATCCTTTTCTTGTGTTCTTTTAAATATTGCATGTTTTTCTAATCTTGATACAGTTAACATTTCTTCGTCCTCTTTCGGGTATTTTAACAATAATTGTTTCTTTTACATACGCTCATTGCTGCAACAAAACCACTTGTTCACTAGACAACGGAAAACTCATTAATCAAATATAGCTTCAGTAAAAACACTCCGCTTAGCGATCATTGTTCAACGACGATCGCTCAAACGATGATCGCAACAGACGCTCCAGTAAAAACGTACCTTTACATACTCAATACACATAACAATCAGAAGTTTTAGGTATTTATTTTAAATACTGAATAATTTTTAGGTCCTCATCCTAGTGACAAGTATTCCAAGCAGCAAAACGAAGGCTGTGCAGCACATCACAATGAACTAGATTACTTAAATAAAACAATTTCGGAAAAACTTCAAAAAGACATGCAATTGTGGGAAGCGTACGACGACGCCCTCGATAATTTTTGTGATATAGACAACAACGACGAAAACGCCGAATATGTCGATTTGTTACTTAATCCCGAGAGATATACAGGGTAAGTAATTTATATAACAACTATTTTAAGAAATGTCTTGTATTCACCAATTTGAGACTTCCTGAAAGTCACCTCAAACATATTTTTTTCTTTCAATGCCGCCTCTTTCTTCTTTTTTATCCTTTATAATTAATTGGATGTGTAGTTTTTTCGTGTCTCTATGTAGTGGTTAACTTGTTTTTATCATTGATAAGTATTCTTCCGCAAGATATTCGGAGCGGTCTGTGAGAACGGAATATGGAGACGTGGATATAATTTTGAACTGCAGAATATCTACAAGCATACGTTTGGTGGTAAAGATATTACCGCTGTAATTAAGCGAAACCGCCTGCAGTGGGCTGGACATGTAGCCCGGGCCCTGAATCACTGATCAAAAGATTCTAGCGCAACCCCGTGGGAATGAGAAGACGGGGTAGACCAAAGCTGAGGTGGATGAATGGGGTAATACAAGATGCGGAGAAGATCGGAGTCGGCAACTGGAAAATGCAAGCAAGGGGAAACAGAAAGAAGGGGCAGAAACAGAAGTCGATCCATCTAAGGGCTGTAGCAACAAGATGATGATTATGAAGAATTCTTCCTCTTTATTCATTGTAGAACTTCTGCATTTGATATTCTTCTACCGAAGAAAATTTCAGAATTCAACTAGAAACTCATCTTATGGATTTCAGTTTATTTAAGCTCATTATCTTTAGCAACCCCATTAAGTAATCCTCATCATACAGTATTCAACATCCTACAAGTTTTAATCTGCATCCATGCCTTAAGAAATTATAACTTTTATTTCTTGTTCAGGATCTAGCTTTCTTTTAACCCACTAGTCCAAGTATTTATAAAGTTCTGTTGTAGCATCTTCCGAGGCCTGTTACTGAAAGTTTTAACCTTTAAAGTTTTTAACAAGTATCGAGTTGATGCCTCAACCACCATCCTGGAGGACCGGAGCTTTAATTTCGAAGTGCCGCTCCTAGACCGCTTAGGTACCTTCTCTACGGCTCAAAGAGACCTGTCTTCCCTTTATTCCTTTTATTTCTTCCTCTAAAGTTTGGGTTGCCACCTCCGCCATTGGATCCCTAAGCCGTTGTGGTCTTCAACCGTTACTCTGGTCAAGGGACCCAACAGAATTTAACTTCTGGAGAAGAGCGGCTGGAAAATTGAGATTAGACAAATTTAGAAACGAAACAATACGAGAAGTTATGGGTGTTAAGCACAATATAACAGAGAGGACATCAGAATAAATCAACTAAGATGGTATGGACACGTTCAAAGAATGGATGAACACAGAATATCAAAGAAAGTATTGAACTGGACACTGAAATTGGAGAGAAGGAATCGATAAAGACTTAAGGGGAGAGGAGTTGAAGAAAACCTTGGAATGACCGAAATAAATGGAGACTGGAAATCAGAAGATGGCGTAAAACGTTATAAACTAATTGATTGATTGTAGTTGTTCTTCTTAAGATGCCTTCTCCATTATTGAAGGTTGGCTGTAACTACAGCAAATTGCTCTCTATCTTGAACTGTTCTTAGTATCAAATGTGTGTCCATGCATGTCCAGCATCTTACAAGTCTATGTTTCCACTTCGTGTAGCAATATGGAATAAATAAACGTTTTTTACAAATTGATATCGGATATCCAATGAATGTAGTTATAAACTAGATATTTGCCATTCTAGTGTTCTGTAATAATTGAGGCGGCTCCGCTGTCACCACTGTAAAGTAATACAAATGGGGGAGTTATGTGAAGGTAAGGAAAACGCTGTCACCAAATGTAATACTTTATAGATCCCCAAAGGATGCTAACCCTGCGAGCGGCTGCAAGGAATACTGGTCACACTAGTCTGGAGGGCTGGCTCGTCTTCGTGGATTTACGAGAAGATAAGGGATTTTCGGGATAGGGGTAAGGACTCCTAGGTCTCAGGTCCTGTAAAGAGCAGAGGTTATGGGCTTACTTTTGAAGCCGGAGATATGCATAAGCAGAATCTCGTATTCTCCTAGTCTCTAATGAGTCGGACGAAAGGAACATTAAAAAAAACCAATTTAGAGTCTACAATATATTGAATTTACCCTGAAGTTACAAATACAATCGTTAACACGTTATTCTGCGCGTCGGGAGACGAGAAGCAAGATAGTGAAGAGTTGACAGTTGTACTAATATAATTACTCAGGTTAGTATATAGAAATCTGTTACCTTATGTGTATTTAGGGCTTTCAACCACGACACGTTTCGGTCCTCTGGAACTCGGTCAGTTGAGGGTCTCCTCCTGTGTTACGGACTTACGAGCTGCCACAATAACCGGACTACACGAGATACTATGCCGGGATGATAAGCGCTCCCCGGAGAATTACCGACTGCGCTCGCGTACCGGACGCTATCGCGTCGAGAGTACCCGGAGCAGGCAATTGATGCCTCGACGGCTCCCGCAGTCACTGTGACTCGCTATTACTGACTACTACTATGACTTGGCTGACCAAGTTTTCTAGTTTTTATCAACTGGTGTCCTCATTGACCGGTTGTAGTCCAAGGTTGCGTTTTCGCTGAATTGTGGGTTACCTATATTGGGCAGGATTTACAATAACAGTTTCTGTTTGACGTGCTTTTTCTACGTTTAAACAATTATCAAACAATGCAATAACTAGGTCAATTTCTTTGTGTAATTTAAAATGCAAACTTTACTGTAATAATTATCCCTTATTTGATTTGGAATATATAATAATTATCTCGAATAATTATTATCTTTTCTATGCTACTTAGCCCTTTATTCCAACTCCCACTCACTTGCTACGCTCACATCACAGTTCTTCTGAATAGTAATTCGAAGTATAGGCTAAATAGACCTCAGACAGCTTTTTTTACTTCTCTTTAGATTTTCCCCGTGACCATGCGACGAGGAATCCAATCAATGGCCAACCACAGTCACTCCACTCAACAGAATAAATCAATCTACGTACAAAAACCAGCGTAATTCTAGTTTGGCTATTGATGTGTTGGCAAAGCTCGACTTTTGTATTATATTTTTTACCCATCACCAAATTTGCAGCCAATTTTTTAGGATAAACAAACTTAAATCGTTTCAAGAACAAAATATGATTGAAATATCAGATGTTGGTAGTTCAGATTGCTTTCCTAGGTGGCGCAGTTACCCTACGATGACAACCAATGTGACTTATCCTAGCCTTTTATATAGATAGATGTTTAAAAATAATATTCACATTTCAGATATTCCGGTGAATCAGCCCGCAGGATATGGAAGAGTATATATTTAGAAAACTGCTTCAGGCCAAAAAAATCTTTCAGTTTTAATCCGTATATACAAAGCAACAAGTTGAATGAACTTTGCTTAGAAGGTAATTATTGTTTATTTCATTTTCTTGAACCTTAAGATTATATTTTTTGAGAAAACTTTCAGTTAAAATTAAATATTATTAAAGGCTTTCTAATTTAATTGATGTTTCGACGGGTATCTAGTCTTTATCAAAACTATATGTAAAATTGATGTTTATCATAGTCTTACAAAAAATTTGTATATCAGACTGACCTTTTATTTACACAATTTTTCTATTGGCTCCTTTTCTCTTCCGACTGTGCTCTAACCATCTACTGCTCGTATTCTTGGATGCTCCTCAGCTGGTGAAAGTCTCTCACACACACTACCGCCGCTACACTTTCTCCAAAACACCTCCTGGATAAACACCTATCCCACAGGAACACGCTATCTTACTAATCGAAAGGATTTTCACTTCACCGATTGGCACTACATATATGCTACACCTGTTTTCCTTACTACATGGTGTAAATTCCGCTTTGAACTGCTACCACTCCTTTGGCTTGTTCCACAGACACATCAAACACTATACACGAATTTTTATTTACGAGCAACTCTGCTCACTTTTACTGCAGGCTAGGAGCAACAAAACAACTAGCTTCTTCAGAAGTTCAGAACACAGTAAAAGCTTCTCCGGCATCGCAAAATCAGCTTGGCGTCGTTTCACTCAACCTTCCGCTTCTACCAATCAGATTCCAGCATCATACACTCCACACCTTAAATTCCAACCAATCCCATTCAATACTTTCTCAGTGACTCGCTGTCGTCATGACCTTATATCATTTGGTAATTTCAATTTCATGAATAATACTTTTCTTTTTGTTTACAAGTCTCGATATAACAATATAACTAAACATGAAGATTATTATCTACCCTCAACTTTTACTAAAAGCTTTCTCCTTACATTAAAAATTCTCTGTACAAAAGATTTCTAGTTTATATACAAAGAATTCCTATACCTGTGCCTTTGACATAATTGTTTATTAAAAACCAACTATACTTCATCTATTATTGTTCTGAAGCTATTTTCTTGTGGCATTGTAAATTAATTACTATTAAACTGGGAATAAGCCACAATTAAAGATAAAAATACGTTTATTGACGTTTCAATTTCACTTCGAAATCGTTCTCAAAATACAAACCTTTGTATTTGAAAATGAAACGTCAATAAACGTATTTTTATCTTTAATTGTGGTTATTCCCAGTTTAATAGTAATTAATATACTTCATCTAATTTAGATAACGACTTACGTCATTATCTACGTCAGAGATCGAAGTTGACATAGTTGCCAAAGTATAAAAAAATCCTGACTCCATTTTAAATCAAATAGATTACATAATTATTGCAAAAGTATTACCATCTCTTTACACGACTATTTAAATTCTTACGTGACATTTTTAAAATAAAACACACTAATTTTGTTCTAAAATGAACAGATTTTATTAAATAGTTAAAAATATAAAACAAGATATATTCACTTTAAAATTCAAAATAATGAAGTACAAAAAGTGTCAACACCGCAACTGTCAAATAAGTGTTACCAATTTATGCCAAAATTTTACCTTCGTTCGATTACAGTTACAGTGTGTTCAGAACAAATGTTCTTGATAAAAACGCTTTATAATGCATTTATACAAATTAAATGAAACATATTATTGTGTATTTCTTAAAGTTAACATTAATAGAAATTTTTAAATATTATTTCTACGCGTATATAAAAAAATATGTCTAGTGGCTGTAATGCCAGTGTACTCGGTAAAGTGATTCTAACAAAGAACACACCTACACCCTAAATATTTTGTGTTGGTATCATGTGACGTCACAGGCTATGACGCCGATGACGTGCATCGTTATATAAATTAGATGAAGTGTATTGTTATCATATTTTCAGTTTTTACAGAAATAATTTTCCTATTTATTTATTAAATCGAATTTATTGGTCGATGAAATTAAATTTATATTATGATTATCGATACACCTAGAGTCAAGCTTCTACTAAATTCTTTTCAGAGAGAGTTTTCTACAGATCAATATCCGGTCTTCACGCCAGTATCAATGTCCATCTGTGCTCGAATTATCTTCTTTCTAAAAACAACGGCTTCGGAGGACTGGGCAAACCGGAAGCGAAATGGGGACCCAATTTGGAAGAATTCCAAAAGAGATTCTCACCGGAAAATACTAACGGAGAAGGACCGAATTGGCTGAGAAATTTGTATTTTATTTATCTGGTAGAGTTAAGGGCTCTAGCAAAAGCGGCACCGTACTTAGAAAAAGAGGGGTATTATACAGGTAAGTCGCATTTTTTTTCATACAACTTTTTGGAAGCACAGCTTTTTTATCGTGGGCTAAGGACGACGTGGTGGATCGCGCAGAGGTGTTAAAAAAAATAAAAGCACTACAACGATTGAGTGACCACACACTACATGGAGTAGTAAACGCAGTCCCGTGCGTGTTTCTTAATAAAAATTAGAATCGAATCGAATAAATAAAATTAAAACTATCGCTCCGTGCGTAGATGATAAGAAAGCTATGCTTTCACTTCTGATTACTCCCAGAGTGCCGCATCCCGTGTTATTATTTTACTTGCGATATTGCTCTTCTTTTATATCCGAAACTTTCTTTCGTTCTTTTATTACATACAGATTAAACGAGATAAATTCGGAACATACGAAATATTATGTATTTCGGCTCAACTCCGCTCTAGGTGGTTGGCCAACAAAACGTTGTCAAATAATTATATTATAAAAATCCAATACTTCAGCGGGCTGCTGGATTCTGAACTCATTCAAGAATCAGTCAAAACTCCACCCAAATAAGTTGCCCCGCCCATCACGTATAAAAATTGAAAGCTACACATAAATCTAAGATTTTATTATGCTGTAAAACCACTTATCGCTTCCCACAGATGGATATTTTGAGCGGTGTTGCCAATCTCATTCCTCTAGATGTTTCTCAAATAAGGTGTTTTACCATAAAATATTTACAGGAAAGAAAGGAAATAACTACAAACCATTAAGTTTATTTTTGTTATTAGTCTGTTGTAGTAGATTGGTAAATACAATGAAAAATATAGGCAAATATCCGATTTATTTAAAGATACGAAGAAGATATAACTCTCAAAAAGATCCGCAAATCGGATTATTACACGGCGATTGGCAACATTGACTTTGGGCCGGCACTATAGACTATGGTGCGCCCTAAAGGGATACAGATAGTTGAACGATATTTTATACAATGTCTATCACCGGGTATGGATTTATTTTTGTCCAAGTTTTATATTGGTCCACTATTTCAAATGCAGTTCAAACAGACATATCTTAAATTGTATGATCCGTTGTAAATTCATTCAATGTGTATATCTTTTCTTGTTATCTCTTTTTTTCTGTCTATCTCAAAACAGTTTACATTTTCGGTTACATTAACTTCCGTTAATTTTTGGTTAGTTTTACTCGCTCCTTTTGAATAGTATTCTATAACCTCTGTACCAACTCTGTAGGTTGGATGCTTTTTTAGTAAGAGGCCATACTTTATTTGTTACATGTGATTATACTTATACAAATAATGACATTGTTTTGTTGACAATAGGAATTAAGATTTATTGCAATCCATCTCTAGATGGGATTTAATTAACACACACCAATATATATTTAAATTTCAAATCAATCACAATATTAATGTAAAAAAGGGAATAATTAAATCCTTATACGATAGAGCCAAAATTACTTGTTCTAACGAAAATTCGTTCTTGGAGGAGAAACATTTGTTAACATCTGTTTTATTAAAAAATGATTATCCTTTATCGTTTATAAATAAGGAATTTTCAACAATCGATCGAATAGAACAGAACAACTTCTAACAACCTACAGCATACACAAGGAATAATACGAGGAAAATAACAATACCGTACATAAAAGGATTATCAGAAAAACTTAAAAGGATAGGAAATAAATTCAACATTTCAACAACATTCAAAACAACAAACACGTTGAGATCTATTTTGTCCAAAACCAAACCTAACAATGAACAAGAAAGGACAAAGAATTGCATTTATAAAATACCTTGTGAATGCGATCAGTTTTATTTAGGTGAAACATCAAGGCCATTAAATGTTAGAATAAGTGAACATCAATCTTATATTAAAAATAGAGAATTTGATAGATCTCAAATATGTAAACACGCATGGGATAATGAACATAGGGTTCAATGGAATAATTCAAATGTAGTCCTAAAAGAAACGGATGGTAAAAAAAGAAAAATCAAAGAAGCGGCTCTAATTATGCTAAATGAGGCCAATTGTGTCGCAAATTCCTCGGCAGAATGTAGTAGGATCTGGTTACCAATATTGAAAGAGGAAGTTATTAATAAGAAAATACCAGTATTAGTAAGTCAGTAACATATAAGAGGATACATCATTTATGTTTTTTAAATAACGAAACATATAAAATCAGAATTTTGGTGTTTATTGAAGGTAAACTAAATGCACGAACAAATACTTACCATGTCGGGATAGTATTATGAGGTTTTTTTCCTGGTTTTTCCTCATAATTTACTATGGAATCACTAATAGGAGAATTTTACTGTCATCATGTCATGTGTTTGTCTTTTTAAAGACGAATTACATGCTATGATTTTTTTCTGACGGATATTCTCAAGTTAAAGTTGATTTCATGTAATCGAATGAACTATCTTATAAGTAAAGTCGTCCCAGGAGCGCAACTCAACAATATTGGCAATATCATTTTAAAGTCGTCTACTTTAAAATGCATAATGTATGTCTGAATTGTCAATATAAATGAGTCAGATAAATTAAATTATTAGAAGAATTTTTCACTATGTAACAAAAAACAAAATTTGTTTAATTTACTGTTTGTATTTTGAGAACGATTTCCGAAGTGGAAATTGAAACGTCAATAAACGTATTTTTATCTTTAATTGTGGCTTATTCCCAGTTAAATAGTAATTAAGTCAATGTGACAATTACGACAATTCGTACCTACTGTGAAATAAATATAGACGTGAAAACGTGTAACATGTCAATCGATTGCCATTGCGTTGTATGGTCAATAAAACAATGTCGTGAGTCTGTATTATGTGTTCTTGTATTATTTCTTAGTTATTTCCTATGTATACATAAGTGACTTATTTATATTGTGACATGACATGTAGTGTTTACTATGTAAAAATCGTCAATGAACGTATCCATATACAGTATTGGAAGATTCAAAACGGAACATACGAATTATTAATACAATTATTAAGATCCCCTGACCTGCAATTACCCAGTGTAAATTTCAATATAACGTCGCGATGTCTTATAATTAATTCATTTGTTCGACTGGATTGCTACTCCTTGGCGATTTCTAGTAGCGTATTCGACAGGTGTACGTCGACACTGTTGTCTATCGTCCACTGATTTTCTGTGTTTTTGTGCAGATAATGAACAATGTTTTATTAATAACAATTTTTTTGTGTTCATTAGATATTATTTGAATTGGTTAGTGTATAGTTTAATATATTTATTATTCCAAATATTGTTGATAATTTAAAATTTAAAAGGATGTATATGATACATCAAAATCTACAGATTTTTGCCGAAGGTATCTATCGATTTGGCAACAGTCCCAAGGAACATCACTGGCCGAGCAAAACAAATACATGCCCTTTGCTTTGCTTCTCATTATAAGCGCCATAAGCTGAAATAAAAGTAGTGTTTCTAACCATAAACCATGTATACAAACAAAGAAAAAGTACAAATTTTAAAATGGTATTATGGGGGCAACTCGTACCGTGATATTATAAATTTATTTACTTGTGCGTATGAAGATAGACCAATACCGACACAATCAACTATTAGTCGTATTATTAAGGTGCGCACGTGCGCAGCAGTCGAAAAATATCGACTGGAGAAGGAGTCCAGTCGAACAAATGAATTAATTATAAGACATCGCGACGTTATATTGAAATTTACACTGGGTAATTGCAGGTCAGGGGATCTTAATAATTGTATTAATAATTCGTATGTTCCGTTTTGAATCTTCCAATACTGTATGTATCTATTGTATGCTTTTAGGTGATGAACAAAATGACTGGGATACGCGAATGGCGATGAAAGACCTCCTGAAAGTAATCAAGTTGTTCCCGGATCATTTCGACGAGACTACGATGTTCAGGAACAGTGAACAGGCGCGAAAACTGAAATACGAATTCAAACAACACTTCCGAAATATTACGAGAATCATGGACTGCGTCGGGTGCGACAAGTGCCGCTTATGGGGCAAACTGCAGACCCAGGGGTTAGGCACTGCTTTGAAAATACTCTTCAGTGGGCAATTCGACGGGGTAGAAGGCAAGAGAACTTTAGACGCGCACAATAAGAAAGAATTCCAGCTACAGAGGAACGAGATTGTATCGCTAGTGAACGCGTTCGGCAGATTATCCAATAGTTTGTACAAAATAGACGATTTTAGGCAAATGCTCAGCATGAGATAACATTTGAGCAAAATTTGGAAGTGTAGTCAATTTAAAAGAAGCTACGGTACATTCTGGGATACAGTATTAGAATATTTGAAAGTGTTGCCAAAATATTTATTAAATTTAAATACAATATGAAAAATTTGTCTGCTTAGTAAGAGTTGTACACATATTTTTTTAAACATATTATTTACAAGAAAAATGTATACTAGTCAATACAAGTAGAACAAAAAGTCTAATTATACTGCAGGAAGGAAAGGTCTAAATAGAACATAAAATGTTTAGAGTACCTAGTACTCGCAATAGTTTATCAGATATTTATATATTTGTAAATACACTATCTCCGAAACAGTAATCTAGCTATTTTATTGTTAATATGAGCATATTAATAAATTATGCTCATAAATTCTTTTAACATGAATCTGCTTGTTTGTTCCATATACATTTATCCGAAAAAAAAAAGACGACAATATTCATATATTTAAATTGATAGCTTTTCAAAAAATTAGAAATATAATTTTACATAGTTTACAAGATGGTTTTTCTAAATCCAAATCTTGCATAAACTATATTATTGTGATACTTATATTTTAGTAAAATCTACAGATTGTGGAAACATATTTATTACATTCACATATTTGGCTTTCTATAACTTTTCACAATTTGTATATTGATATATGTATCTTCCAAAAAATTTCACGTATGAGATTATAAACCGCATTTTTAACAGTTAATGGTCAATTATTAGTTGGAAATCTGGTTTTTCTATTATTGAAAGCCATTTTATGTTCTGCTATACGTTTGTTAAAAGTTCTACCAGTTTGACCGATATAAGTTTTTGAGCGGACGCCATATTTATGTTTGTATACACCACTGTGTAAGTGCTTTTTATTTTGGCTCTGTTGTTGGTAACATATTTGCCTAAGTTGTTGTTTGTTCTGACAGCTGGTATTATTCCTTTCTTTTTGTGTTTGGCTATTTTTGTTGTTATTTTGCCTGTAAATCGAGCAGAAGGTTTTTTTCTGGTGGTGGAAATACTAATTTCAGGACTTTCTTATGTAGTTTTTGGTTTAAAATTTTATTAATTTTAATACAATTAATAAAATGTTAAATTAAAAACTACATAAGAAAGCCTGGAATTAGTATTTCCACCACAAAGAAAAAAAACCCAGTACTTTTGTTCAATTACATATACAGGTAAGATATCAACAAAAATAGCCAAACACAAAAAGAAAGGAATAACACCAGCTTTTAGAACAAACAACAACTTAGGTAAATATATTAAAAATAACAAGAATTAAAATAAAAAGCACCTACACAATGGTGTAACAAACCAAATGTGACGACTGCCCAAAAACTTACATCGGTCAAACTGGTAGAACTTTTAACAAACGTATAGCAGAACATAAAAGGGATTTCAATGATAGAAAAACAGATTGTACATACGCACTTCACCTTCTAGATAATAATCTATCTCTTAATGTAATGTAATAAACTACTAGACCAGGGCGGATCTGTGTTAACGTGGATGTGAGAGTGGTAGCATTCTCATTTTTGAAGAAAAAGTTTCAAATCAGTATTCCACCTCTTCTTCATCTTTCTCAGGGACTCCTTAACGCCCAGTTTGAGCGTCGGAGTGATATTTTCATATTTCTTGTACCCATCTCTTTCATCCCTTCCGGTCCCTAACCAGTTCTTTCATTTGTTGAAATGATTTTCCTTTTTCTCTGTCTATTTTCAGTGATTGTTCCAACCATCTCATTCTTGGTCTTACCTTTCTTCTCTTCCCGTATCTTTTGAAGGAATTCCACCTCTCAAATTGAAATATTGTCGTTTTGTCACAGATCCTTTCCTTGTCTACAATACGACATTTGAATTGAATCTGTCATTTCGAAAAGGACGTAAGTCCATTGATTAAAACTTCCGTTTCGTCCCATTAGAAAGGGGTACAAGTCCAGGATTCGTGCCATTTTCAAACAGACTTAAAAGATGTTTGCCTTTTATGTTCTATTTTAACAGAAAATATGTAAAACGCTTCAAAAAATAAAATGGTACCAAAAAGTGATATTTAATAACAGTTTAACCTTTGCTCTTTGCGAAATGACGGTACGCGGTAATATTCATTGTGGTAACTGTCAAACACGACAAATTTAAATAATCCTTAAGTTTATGAAATTTTTTAATTTTCTGTGCGATATTCTTAATTTTTCTTGACGTAGGAGCCTTCTACACATCATTAGAAAACTTATAAAAAAGTGAATGAAATCGGTAAAGTCATTCTCAAGTTTATGGCGTGATATGGGGAAAAATTTTATAAAATGATGACCTGACTTTTCTTTTAACAGTTTTTGTTTATTTTGTACAATTAAGTTGTCCATTAATTATTTCGAAATGTGTTGCATGTACGTAGTTGACCAATAACTTACTAAAAATGATGGTTTTTGTAAGACATTATAACAAAAGAAATTTAGGACATCTTTCACATTTCATCTCGATGAAGATAGTCTCAAATTAGCTGTCAATTAATTTTTAAAGAACGAAATATTGGCGTTAGCAGTGTTGCCATATCCTTGTATTTGTTATATGCTTCAAATAAAAAGGGAGAAAGCTTTTAAAAAGTGCATTTTTATTATATTATTAGAATTTTTTTTGGCATTTGCCCTTTGATAGATTTGCAGATAAATTTGGCAATAGAGTTGCCTCAAACCATCAGTTGTCAGATTGCAACAGATATCTTTTTAACTTTATTATTTATACCTACTGACATTTTACTATTTACTTTTTAAAAACTGTTTTAAAACTATTTACTTTTTCTTTTTTTAGTAATTTTAAACCATTATTTTTGTTATTGTTTTTGATTGCATATGTTTCATTTTTGATATAAATGCCAATACTGCCAAACACTAATATTTCGTTCTGTCAAACTCATTTGCGGCTATCTTCATCGAGACCAAATGTGAGAGAAGTTTGTTAATAACAATTAATTTGCTGAAAAAATGTTGTTCTGATTCAAATGCTATGCCATATTTATCCATGACATTTTTGCTTAATTAATTAGATTAAAAATTGGGACCACTGACTTTAAAAAGTTTCAGAATTGTAGTTTATCGATTATTGATACTGCACAAGTCAAAATTATAATTATATTATAAAAATATATGAAAGTTGTATGAATCTAATATTAATCAATAAGGGAAAGGCAATTATTGTCCAATTCAGCCACAATAAAGTATTTTTGTCAACACATTTTGGCCAATAATGAAAAACAACGCCAACGTGATAAAAATCATGATTCAGAAATATTACCAAAATAATTGTTAAACATATAAACATCGAATAAAAAGAATAATGAGCATAATCTTTCCTTTGTTGATCGTTTAAAAATATACAATAACCTGCAGACACAATTTTGTAATATAATGTTTTAAATTTTGTTTTAGAATGCTTTAAAACATATTCGCTTTAACACTTTAACTGCCAGAAGTACCATATATTGGAACAGGTTTAATCAGCGTTTGGGTTATGTGTTCGTGGTTGGTACACATTTACCGTGTATTTAAATACACCCAGATGCAAAAAAAAAGCGCAAAGGAGAAAAATTTTGGTCAAATTCAAAGTATTTCAGTTTCTTTATTTTTAGCCCTATTTTGATGATTTTTTTTGGCACACTGTGTATAAATTTATAAATTTTAATTTAGTATAGTCAGTTTTTGAATAAAATTTTGTATTTGACTTATTATACGGGGTTAATCGAAAGGTGGTTTTTTATCCTAATTTTGAAACATCTTGTAGAATAATTCCGTTAGCGGATTTTCTTAAAAACCTTGTTTTTCAGTTGCAACCATATCTTCTAAGTATTATGTTTTTTGTTTCATGTCAAAATATGGATTGGTTCATTTTTAGGAGCGAAATGACTTTGCCACCCACAATTTATAACTTTTCCTATTATTACCATTATCTTTTGTATTAATTTGTAATACGACGATGGTGGCTTTGGTGACTGATATCGAAGGAATGTCATACCGACATCTCAAAAGCACTGGATTTAAATAATGATTAAAAGCAACGACATAATCTAGGTTTTAATGAACAATGATAACAATAACAAAACATAAAAAAATAACAACTTAAATTGACCTCATTGTCCATATGTGGTACACATGGCCTGCAACTAGACGTTAATAACAATTTCACAATCACAGGCCACGTGCACCGTATGAGGACAGAGCAATTTTACAGAAATAACCAAAAAACAAATCTGATTTTATGAGTTTCACCAAAAACAAAACACAAATAGAATAATTAAGAAGAAACAAAAAAACATTTTGGCCCTGAAGACACGGTACAAAATTTACTCTGAATTTACCTGGCAGTTAAAGTGTTAAATAAAAAAAATCGATTCTTTAAAGTACATTGAACTTCAAATACATACATCTATTTTATTTTATCGTCAGTGGCTAAGAATTCTTAAGTATAGTATAAGTGAACCGGGTAAATCGTATGCAATATATTTTTCTTACAAAATTTATGTATAGGCGTGTAGAACTAAATGAGTGATGTTAATGTTTTATTTTATAATTGTTATATTACATTTATTTGTTTATTTTAAAGTTGAATTTAAGGGATTATGGATGTAATGCAGTACGTTGTAAAATGTAACATAAAACAATTTATTTATAATGTATATGGAATAACTTATTATTCCATATGTTCACTATTAGTTCGTCTATCGCATCTAATAGGGAGTGTCCGCCTTCCTTTATTAATTCTGCGTTAATGTTGTCTAATACAGGTGACTTGTTGTTTTTCAGTCTGGTAACTGCTTCTTGCATTTCAGCTACTGAGAGGGGGGGGTTTGTTTCTCTGGTATCCGTTTGATCCAATATAATTCCATCATATAGTGGATCTCCGTTTTTTTTTTCAAACTTTCCTTTGAAGAATTCTGTCCATCTTTGTAGTAATTCAGTCTGTTGAGTTTCTTTTAGAATATCCTTCTGTCCTAACAACACAGGGGGAACATAAGTATAACCCCACACCTGATTCTGTAGAAAGGATGTCTACAATTTCTTAAGAAATAAAAATAAAACACCAACATGGTTCACACAACTTTATTCCGACCTCATGTCTTACAGTCTTC